CMARSCCTGGGGGGAACAAGGTCCCATCCTGTCCTGGTTCTTCCTGGGAACCAAGAGGTYTKYRAGACCCATTTTCATAAAAAAATACAGCTGAGACTGAGGRTGGRGGATCCAGAGAAGGGGCCTGACCTGRGGGGAATTCCRTCACCCCTTGTCCTMMTAAYTGGYGMTTTTTATCAATTATGCYMATTTCCTAAAATTTATCAAACTGTATMACCYCTGGGGRGKSKTTTGTGGATTTTCTTCCRTGGCTGCCCMTGGAGCTCCAACAAAGCCCCACTTTTATATCACCCCTGTMCTGAAATMATCTCCAGTTTCATTTCTAAGYTGGAAAAGGCAACAGTGAGGAYGCTGCAGGGACCAGGGGAGGGCTGAGGATGCAGAATCGAAGCTGGAGCTCGAGGTTTTGACCCAGATGACCTCCAGGCCGTGGTGAACTGATCCAGACCCTCCCAGCCAGACGGTGAGGCACCCCATGTACGATTTCTGTAATTATATCTAYCCAAGATGTGGCTTTCCCACCCTTCTTCTCTCCTGCTGCCTGCAAAGAGCCTTTCACTCATCATTTCCTCCTCTTTAACCAAACACCGAACGACAAATAAAGCAACTCCAACAGCCCTGAGTGCTTTACACTTGGGCTTAACGTGTTTGCCCTGGGTGTGCTCCCTGCCAGAAGGAAGAGCTGCTTTAGAATCGCTCAACAATTCAGCGTAACCCGAGCTGCCTTTTTTTTTTCCATTTCCACCGCCTCCCTGCTTTATTTAGCAGCATTTACAGTACCCAATCCCCGCGGCTGGGACGGGGACTTGTCACCACACAAATATGTGGAGATGTCTGCCTGCTCTGCGGTCTGACCCGCCAGCCCTCTCTCCTCTCTTTGTGCGCTTCGCTTTGGGCTTTTTGACCTTTTCATCAAAGCCCTTTAAGCCCCGGGCTCACCGTGCTGCTGCTGGAGGGGAGATTTGGATAGAGGAAAGGAAAAAAGGGATTATTTAGTGTTTGTAACCCTTGTGAGCTGATTTCCGTGAAGCCTGGCCGGTGTCACCCCGGCCCGGAGGGGCTGTGTGTTGACAGGACCCCAATCCCCCTTTCCTGCCCCAATCCCCCTTTCCTGCCCCAAATCCGCGCTGATCAGCACCACTGACTCACCGATCCGCCCAAACCACAATTTCCCACAGAATCACAAACCCGGGGCCCTCAATAACTCTCTCGAAGCTGCGAAAACAAACTCTGAGCCGGTATTTGTGGCCGTGGCTCTGTGAGGGCTCGGTTCTGTGTCACAAAGTGAAATGGGAACCAGCTGCACACAACATCCCGCTGACATCACCCGTGTGGATGTGCACACCGACAGCTTTCCATGCGTTTGGCAAATCTTCTCCTTTCCACGCCATCATAATGAATCAGTAATAATGAATTTGTAAGAACGAATCAATATTTCATTATTATTTTGTGTGTGTGATTTAACTGTGTGAAAGGATCTGAAGGAAAAACCATCGCTAGGCTTTTAGCATTTGGATGAACCCGTGGTTTCTGAGCAGGAACTTAAAAATAAATAAAAGGTAGGAGGAACAGGCTGTCATTTGAACTTATTTTTGCTGTCCCTCAGGMCAACTTCTGCGAAGAAGAAACATTTCTGTTGCAGGGTGATAAATTTACCGTGGCTGGCTCTTCCAAAGCTGCTCCTGATGCTGAACAGTGTTTAAATTTCAAGTCAAAAGGGAGACAAAAATAAAAGTGGGGCTYTCTCCTACAAAATTGGGGGCCAGTTTTGATGGGCCATCCCAAACTTCACAGGGGATAAACCCGGATTAAAAGCTGGGACTTTCTGCCCTTGGAGGTGTAAGAGTGGGGGAAATCAACCCTGTTTGTTGGAAAAGGGGAAAGAGGAATGTACAAAACAAGAAATGTGCCTGTCAAAGGCCCAGAAAGGGAGAGCAGCTCCGTTGGGGGACGTTGGGGATGCTGGGGACATTGGGGACGTTGGGGACATTGGGGACGTTGGGGACGTTGGGGACGTTGGGGACATTGGGGACATTGGGGACACTGGGGACACTGGGGACATTGGGGATGTTGGGGACACTGGGGACATTGGGGACAGTGGGGACTTTGGGGACACTGGGAACACTGGGGACATTGGGGACATTGGGGACGCTGGTGACATTGGTGACGTTGGTGACGTTGGGGATGTGGTGCTGCTGGAAAAGCAGGATGGGTGTCCTCAGAGAGGGAGGAACGCAGGGACAGGCAGGTCTGGAGCACCAGTGTGGGACAAAGAGGCAGAACGGGAATTAACTGTCCTGGAGAAGCTGGGGGACGGAATATGTGTCCTTCAGGAGCAAATGATCGCCTGTGGGGGTGAATTCCACCCTAAATCCCAGCCCTGCATCACTGCAAACACGGAACAGCACCCTCAGGGGATTCCTTTGGATCCCTGTGAGCTCCTGGAGCACTCTGCCATGGTCACTGGGCACCTCTCAAACTCACACCGAGCTGTTATCACGAAATTCAGCCAATCCTGGGCTCCAAACCCAGCAGAAGGAGGGAATGTCCACCTCAGGGAGGATCTGACCTACAGGAGCAGCGTTCCCAGCCGGGTCTGAGCTCTTCTGAGCGAGTCCATGAGCAGGACAGGGCTTTCTGAGCTGCTCTGGGCTCGGATTATTGCATGTTTTGTCTCAAGGGTCTCTCCAGTGTCAAGCAGCAGATCCTGGGACAGCAGCACCCTSGGGAGAAGCCAACACAACCTGGCCCTCCAATATCACCCTAAGGACATGAATTCTTCCCTTTCTCCCACCCTGGACTGAAGTTTCTATTTCCTCATGGCTATTCTAAATGATTTCACTCTTAATGTCCACCCTGTCTTTCAAATTATAAAATATTTTCCCAATATCAACCTAAGGAGATGAATTTTCCCGTTCTCCCACCTTGTTGCAAACTTTGTATTTCCTCACGGCTGCTCTGAATTATTTGACTCTGGATGCCAACCCTTTTAAATTATAAAACATTTTCCCAATATCAACCTAAGGAGATCAATTTTCCCCTTCTCCCACCTTGTTGCAAACTTTCTATTTCCTCAGGGCTTTTCTAAATGATTTGACTCTTGATGCCAACCATTATAAATTATAGAACATATTATGCCTTTGATTTAGCTCAGCTCCAATATTAGCTGATTAAATATATATATATATAAAATATTAATTGATTAAATTTTATTTATCTGCTGTCAATATTTGTGGTTTGCTGGGAGTTCTTCACTGATAAAGCAGCTGATTGCACCTTACAAACGACTCCTCTGATCCCTGCAGCATTCAGGAAATATCCCTGAGGGTGGATGTGGGGGTGTACATGTAAATCTGTATTTTTTTTCTGTGTTCTGGTCTGCTTTCTCTGCCTCAGCACTGTCAGGATGAGGGGCCAAAGGCATGAGAGGATCTGGGTTGGGTGAAAAGCAGGAATGGAAGGAGGTTTGGTCAGATGACACTGCCTGATATTGAAACARAATAAAAATGTGCATAAACACAGGGACCAGGGCTCAGCTGCTGCACCATAACCCCGTGGCTGTGAAGCTGAAACATCCTTTGAGCCTCTCCTTCAGTCACMGCCTTCAAACAAACACCTGGGTGCCAAAATTGGAAGAGATTTTGTGCATTTGTGTGGAGGTGACTGCAAGAGTGGGTTCTTGCTTTAATGTGTTGAGAGGACTTTGGTCCATTAAAATGTGACAATTTCAGGTTGTTTTGTGTGAATGAACRCCATCCCACTATCCTTAGAGGGGAGAAGTAAAAATCTGGAGAAAATTTGCTCTTAAGCTGATAACAAGATACAAAGAAACCTGAATTAACAAGCCCTCCGTAAAACCAAACGCTCTGCTCTTTCAATGAAAATAACGCCCCCAAATCAGCAGAAAAACCCCTCTGACAAGCTCACCTGGTGCCCTTCTCCTCCTCCCAGCCACAATCAACCGATAAAAGGAATCCTGACAAATCCAGAAAGTTTAAAATCTCTGCAGGGCGCRATGAGGGAGGCACCGGCTCCGCACCTCACCCGCCGCCCTTTAACCTCGGCGGGCAAAGCGATTTTTTATTTTCCATTTGGAACCCAAAAGGAGGAAAAGAACAAAAGGTTTTGGCTCACATGTAGGCCTTGTAGTTAGTGCCTATCTTTTGGATCCTGATGTCRTATTTGGAGTCTATGAAGGGCTCGGTGGTGGCGTAGGTCTGGGTGAGCGCTACCACGCTGGCTATGTCCTGAAAATCGTAGTGGTTGTCTACCTTGATCTGGAGCCACGAGAACACAGCACAGGCAAAAGAAGAAAGAGGAGTTAGGAACCAAATCTGCTCACAAAAGGTGTTCACGAGAAGCACGGTTTGGACAGCGGCAGAAAAAGAGATTTGATCTGGTTTCCAGGTTCTGTGACATTCCTGTGTGGAATATCCAGCATTACCTGCTCGTCTGTAGAAAGCAATTTGCACACAGT